GGGATTCGTTGATTGGCCTCACCGGATATCGCAGGAGGGTTGCCTTGGCGCATTGTCTGTTGAATTGCGCGAAGAATATCTCGGTTCAACGTCTTGCGACACCGAGCATTTCGTGCTGAGATTTCGTCCGTCCCCTGACGGACATCGTCAGAGCCAGAAACCATTATTCAAGAAAAATCAACAAAAAAGACTAAACAGAAAAGGTGGTTGGCTGAGATACTACTTAGTTCTTGCACCTCACTTTGCGATCTTAATGAGGCATTACATGATTTGGTTGTCTGACGTATGTGTGCCTTACATGCCTATGGGTGGGCTAAAGTGATGCAGGCAGGAAAGCAGATTTGTTCACAACTTTCGTATATGTAACTAAAATAGAGTATGATCCAGTAGTTCTGGGGCAATTTTGGGTCCTAAAACAGACTCCCGCTTGGTCAAATCTTCTTTTCTTACTCAGTGGCTCTTCTTGTTCTCTTTCCTTCTCTATCTCTCTCTCTCATTCCATTTATAAGCCATTCCTACATTCTTTTCTCTTATTTAGTTGTTCTTTGTTTTGTTAATTTGAATCGACTCCTTGATCTTTCACTTATCTGTGCAGTCCTCATATCCTAAAACAAGTTATGATTTGGACAGCTGAATCTGGTGTATTTTAGAGTCTAAATGTTAAACCACCTCTAAATTCTGAATCCAAAAAAACTTTGCAGGCGATTCTTTGTTCTGATAGTCTCTTATGTATGGGTTGACATGGCTCTACCACATAAGCACAAAACCTTATACCAACCTTATCTGCAGAGGTCGTCGGAATATTCTCTAAAAGAAGGCATTATTAAGCAAAGCGTTATTGTCTCTTTATACATCATATTTACACTCCATTTCCTCAATCATTCGCCTAGCTTTCTTGAAAGCTAGCAGGACTCTAGCATTATAAACCTGACCGAAGAGTTGTCTAATTCCTTGTTTTGGCCAAAATAATGGTTTTCCTTCATCTTATTTCTCAATATTTTGAAATTGTTAAAAATTAATCTTACAGTATAATTGTTCTCAAATAAAATTTTTCTTATCCTTATTATTATTGATTTAATTACGCCTACCTTAACACCATAAGTATGGTTTGAGAAGAAACAAAATTAAAAGTACGCCCGTATCAATATTTTGAGGGATTCTTCGAAACCCACATTCTCATCATATCTAGCCCATTCTACCATTTATTCCAATCTGACTGAAAGTCACATAAGCCTCTCAGATAAGGCGGCAACACCCGCCTCCATGACCTCACAAAGTGCAACGATTGGTGAGATTAGCTGCAAACGATCGGGTTGCTTTCTCAAATCTCTGTGTGTATGCATACATATCGTCTTGTGCGTGCATATAATCTTGTCCTAAAAAACCTGCTAGCTCAAGCTGCAGGCGGCTTTTGCAATAAAATTCTAAAGAATTCTTCTCAATTCTTCTCAATTCTTGAAAAAATATTCAAGTTCTTGTGTGACTAAAACGAATAAAAGAACTGGCCATCAATGCTTTGGAATTTGGTTTTCCAGCTACACCAAAATTGATGTCTTTATAGTATTATAAACATAGTTAAAACTTCTCATAATCAGGACCTTCACTATTAATTACTTTCTCGCATTCAATATGGTGAAACAAAAAGGTGTCGAGCCGAATTTATCGGATGTGATCGAAATTGATGAAGATCTTTAAAAAATGATCTCATTAGTAGGCGATTGCTGATCCTTGTTTCTCCCCAGTAGTTTGAGCATATCACGACCCTCAGGTTGACATTGTCTACTAGACAACCGCTTTCGAATTTGATAAAAAAGGGCACAGATTTGCTCTCAACATCACGGACATCGTCAGAACTGGATACCATTACTACAGAGGCTGAAAGTCTGATCCAATCAGACCCTTTTATACGAAATGATTATCGCCGCAACAGTGCCATTTCAGAAGATTCATTCAAACCCATTTACATTTTGTATATAAACCAGCCAACGGTGTGGTTCCACATCAACCAGAACACTGAGTATGGTTGAGGCGCATCCGTTTTAAGTGCTTTATTTGTGCAATTATCGTAATAATAGTTATGATGAATTGAAGAAAATGCTTTATTTTTGCGTTTTATTTCACCTCATACCTCCTAAAGTGTTTTTCTCATCTTGACCTGACTTAATTTTCAGACTCGCCTCAGGCCCCAGCAGGAGTTAAAGCGTTGCCGACCCATTTTGTTGCAACCTGGCCAGTATCGGGTGGTCTAGGGGCTAAGGCGCTTTCCTATAAACTTGCTAGACTACGGTTCAAACCACACTGGGGCTTCTGCTGATGAAAAGAGGCGAGTCCTAAATTACAATCCAGTTGAGATCGAAATGGCATTTTAGGATGCAGCATTAAAATTAAACATCTTCTTCATTGCATCATGGGAAATGTAGCTATCAGTCCAATTAGAAACCACTCTAATCTGTTGCAGGTCGAGTATGGTTGTCTGTTCGTTTATTGACGATGAACAGCTGCTTGTGCATAATCCTACAACAGAATTTCTAATAAGGCAAGCTTAGGCAACTCGGCCCTATAGGAAACCCGGTGCTAATTGAAGGAAGTGATCTCCCTAATTAATGCGATGACTAATTCCAAAACCTACCAAAGAAATGGGCGTAAAAGGACGGTGCCTCACCGCTTGCCTAAATTCTCAACATAATTTAATTTCACCTGACTTTCGTTTTAAACGTGCGTCACAAAAAGCTGAATAACAATGAGTATTCTCTTTGTCTGTCTAATAAGTTACCCTTTATCCTCAAGAACTCTGAGAGGTGCAAAGGTCTCGAAAAACTTTGGATTCCAATGATTAATATACAAAAATGTTTACTTCCTATACTTACAGAAAACAATTGAATTCGGTTTCAGACACAACTTATAGAACTCAAGACCTCCAATACTCCGAATGAAACCCAGAGATTTGGTACAATTGTGAAAGGGTCAGAAGGAAATTCCCAAAAATGTCTTCATTAGTAGCAGGGGTTCGAGTCTTGTCAAGGCCCATCAATTTGGTGTGTCGGTTAATGACGAATAATGTTGTATTTTATTAATCCAGGTTGAGTTGGATAAAAGTCTTGTTGTTGCATGGAGTGCACTGTTCTGTGAATCTCCAAGTGCCCCTCTTCTCCAGCCTCGATGGCTGGGTCTCAGTGGCGCCCCAGGCCGGACTCTAACCTTGAATGCGCCAGTGCAAGCGTGCTCCAAGCTGTTTAGTGTTTCATGAAAAGTGGGTCTCCTTCAACTCACTTTTGTGCGGGGACTTTTGCGCTAGAGCCAAATCTGTATTCACGATTAAGCTCAGCATATTACCGAAGAGTAAAACTCTAGCCGCTAACAATGGCGAAATCGAAATAAATTAGTGATTTATAAATAATAATCGTGCTTCTACTGAAAATGGACTATTAAATTCAAGGTACTATTTGTTGAAAGGAAGCGCTCCTCTTTTTATTCACAACTTCTGAACTGAGATTATCTGTCGAACGATTACAACTTTGTACGGGCAAAATAAAAGTTTAGAAAGTATGATGTCAGATTCGCTTGCTGCGCTTCGGGCTAGCCTACATGACTGACTAGACAGGTTTTTGCCACATTGTGAAGTCAAATTCTGCCCTTTTTGGGAAACAGACATCCTCCATATTGTTCATAACAAAGTTGTAAATTGCCTCAGACAAAGAAACATAAGCACATTCAACCTGTTTAAGGCCGATTCGGCAGAGAATATGCACCAAACTCTGATGGAAATACCGTTCGCTGACGTGCCGGAAGTCGTAAATATTTGTTGCCTCTGTTATAGCAGCCTTTTCGTGACAGACAGGCCCTCATTCTTTTTCGCCGAAAATTTTGCAGAAACAAGCCTCTTCCTGTCTAACCGTCAATGCTAAATCTGGCCGACTTTGCCTACCCTTGCCCTGGCATCAATTTACACTCCCAATACCTGGGGGAAAAGGTCATCTTCTGATAAGATGGCATCAATTTTTTTCT